GGGTGTTTCAGACCGGAGTACACAAATTGTGCATTGCACTGTACAATAATATCGTGCCGACAAATTGTACGTCTGTTCGAGTGTAGATAGGAGATTACCCGCGACTTTGAGATTTCTCTTTCTTTATACGTTCGGTCAGGCGTAGCTCGGTTTTTTTTTAGTAGATAATTCCCTTTTTTTTGTACGTATATACATTATGAACACGGTAAGTTTTAAGTGTTCACGAATTTTATGCGAATTAATTACTATCCCTCACACCCGTGCTCGCGCAGTTGTACTCCGGTCTAAAAAACAGTAGGTAGTGTGCACGACATTCTATAATCCATCCTCCTTCCTTCGCGGTAATGTCGCCACTCTGTCCGCTTTTCCTAACCGAGCCCAATCTTACCTAAGCTCTTACCGAGCAATAGTACCCACGAGTACCGTCGCATTGCGGTGTAATGCGTCTTTGGTCCTGCGGCGGGTAAGAACGGCTCGAGTCCACGTTGTATAGTTTTCAACACGAGCGAATTAAATTTTGAAAATCACATATATTCGCGCAACTTATACCAAATAACGAAGGCGAAACAAACGCATTGGGCAAAATGCGTTGTAGAAAAAATAAATTTACTCGAGCCCGGGACCAAAGGTATGTTTATACCTGCACCGCCCCGAATATCAATATTTCGAATGCGTGTTTAAACTTTCTTGTAATTTTTCAATGATGATTATTTTATGACGTACAATATACATTTTAATATAATATACTAATCGGTGTTTCCGGGACGTTATTTTTTCAGTGGAACATCGATTACATGCAGCAGAATCCTCAGTTTTGCACAATGAACGTAGGTATGTTTGTATAAAGTACATATTATTATATTATACACATTAAATTATATTTTTCGTCGCGTGTACGCATAATAACATATAGATATATGTATACCCGTTCGGCAGAGAAACTCGATAGGTTTAAATATACGACGCGTTTACCCTGTATAATTCATACGAATGCAACGCTATAGCCGTTGGCGCGTTTAGACTTTCGTGGCTGGAGGGTCAGGCGCCGATATTTTTCAACGGTGCCGGTTATAGAAAATTGAAAACTCGTACACAACTTATGAGTTATAATATGGTGTCGCATAAACTTCATAATAGCTGATTATCGCCTAATTATCGCAGTCTTATTGATAAACCGATATTACCGTAAATACATAAGATATTACTCATAGACGTGGTAGGTAAAATGAAAAAATCAGACTGAGATGGTTCGGGTAAATATCGCGGGGAGAGAGGGATCAGTAAGAATTGTAATGGAAGAAATAAACGTAGGAGGAAATAGAGAGAGGATGGCCCAATAAGAGACGGTTGGATACAATTGAGTACGATACGAGGACAGCCAATACCGGGTGATACATTTAAGCGTGTACACTCATTATCTCGGAAAGTATTAACTTTTTCCGGAACTTGTTTTCTGGAACATTTAGGAAACAAGCTGCTCTAGAATTTTATATTTATGTTATTTTTTGTCACCCTTATTTTCGGAGGTAAAACCATCACTTACTTTTGATTCTGAAATGGCAACCTATATTAAAAATTCCATACATAGGCGGAGTATTAGTTAAAATAAATGTTAGTGTCGACATTTTTTATTTCCGTCAATCCACTTTAAAGTTTGGGTTGGGGGAGAGTAGTGGAGATACTTCACAAAGTACTTCACATAAAAAATGTCAACAATAAAATTTATTTTAACTAATACGCCATCTATTTGTGGGCATTTTTTAAATAAAAGTTAGCCTATTCCAAACCTCTTATCAAGAGAACCACGTATAATATCGTGAAAATGCGAATTAAAACGGATAATGATAAACATAATGATACGATTTTGATGTTAGATCACGTGAGTTCAGGTACTCGCTCAATACGTATACTCGCAACTGAATATTATTATATTGAATTTAAAAAAAAATATTTCGGCGGATAATCTCGCCGTGCGTTCACAAACTCTGTCCCTCCCCCCATTCCCGTCAACACGCTTACACGACTACACGGTTGTTTATCGACGACGTTTCCACCGTTTTCTTCCAGCACGGGTTTTTATATTACCACGGCATATTATCGCTATTCGAACGGAACGGCACGCACTTTCGGCTTTCGCGAATTCGCCTCCCGGCGAAACCGTCGTTCAAATAATTCTCCGCCTTCGGAAATCTTCCAGCCGCGCTTGAAGGTTCGGTGAAATTGTCATCGAAAACATTCTTCCGCGACGATGATGCGTTTCGTCGGAAGTTTTTGAATTCGCGATGGGAAAAAAAAAAAGTATATCGACCGCGATAACACGGCGTATGATACGCCTAAACGACGGATTTCGACCGGGGTCCGTTTTTTGACACGGACATTGAAAACGATTTGTATCGACTTTCGATAATAGCCCCCGCCAAAGTACCCGCAGACCCCCCCCCTCCCGTGATTTTTTACACGGCGCCAAATACATTTATACATCAGTTGGGTTTCTTAAATTCCCGTCCGGTAATCGAACGGTTTAGTGGTCGCGGGTCGAAAAACCGGGGTCCAACTACGTCTTACCGTCTCGCATCTCACGTTTCGACCCGTCCCGTCGTGTCCGTAAAGCTCGTAAATATTACATCCGTTTCGCGTGTTCGCGTATGTTATTTACACGTCGTTTAACGGTCTGAATTAGCCGAATCGCCGTCCCGTTCCGTTCTCTAATGCCCCGACACATTCCGGTGTTCCCGAATCGAGCGCGGAAATATCGCAATGTAGGTCGAGTTGTGCGCGCGATTTTTTTTTTTTTTTGTACATTTTTGCCAAAAACGCTTCTCCTAGAAATATATTCTTATTTTTCGTTTTAAAGTTTAAAACGTTTTTTTTTTTTTTTTCGATATTTACCTTTTCCCAGTTCAAGCGATCGGATTTTCAAGTAAATAAGATTTACATGTTCTTTTCGCGCGTGCCCATCGCTCGATTTTGTTGTTTAAAAAAATTGCCCGTCACAAAGAAAACCGCGCTTTTTTTGGCACGCGATTGGGATACGTCCACTCGACGACTCGCCGCGGACTAGGTACAATATTAATATTTTTATCGCTAATGTTTTAGCTCCGTGCCCACGCGGTGCTCACGTTGCATACCATACAGGGTGAAACACGATTGCGTACGTTTTTACCCGCGCGATTGCGTACGAGGTATTAAGCGTTGTTGCCAATTTTCATACCAGAGTATATATGATGAGTACAGAATCCATAGAAATTTAATCCGATGTTTAAAAGTAGCAGTATATAGACGTCACGGAATTCAAATTGAAATTTATTTATTTCCAAATAATTGATTCATTTTTATTTAGTTATTCTCATTACCTATGTTTTATTTGTTTGTATTAATTATTATAGAACCGTCCTGGATACATATTAGGCGTATATTGTGAAATCGATAAATTTGACAACAACGTGTATTGCATACTACAATTTCACACGCAATCGTGTTTTCTACCCTGTCCTACAATATTGTTTTCCGGATGTTGATCGTTTTAATTTTTTCACCGGTGTAGTATCCCCTTTCCCCACCCCCTATCCCCCGCCATCCGTAAACGTGTTTCAAGATAGAATTCCGACGGGAATCGTAAACGGTTTGCGGCGTTTAAAATTATTACCATTATATCATTATTGCACGTATTTTAAAGGTTTCGTTAAAATGTATCGCGCTTTTTTCAGGTCCGATGGGCATGCACTCGGCTGCGGCTTGACGGGCGGCACGTCGGTCGGCGGCCGCACCATTCGCATCCGCCGTCGTACAACTGCGGCCACGGCCAACACCATCGGCGGGACAACGGCACCCGCGCCGACACCGGCGGCGCGATCATCGCGTGTCGGCCACCGCCGCCGCACCCGTCCGCCAAGAGCAAGTCGTAGACGCGCACAGCGGCTCGGACGACGACAACCAAAGGCCGTAGTATACTTAAAAAACACGTGTTTGTATAGTAATGTTATAATTGTATGTATAATACGTATGAGTATATTATTACAATAAATGTATAATTATTATTTGTATTGTTTTAAACGTCGCGAAAAAGATATTTTGTTCTATTTATATATATAAATAAATATATTATATAATTACATAAGTATATTATTGTTAAAAAATAACGACGCGCCCGCGCGCGTAGAATCGGATTTTATTTTGTTTAGATGGTGAAAAATTATTAATTAATCGTGTAGTTAAAATTTAAGCGAAGAAAAATTAAAAAAAAAAAAAAAAAAAAAATGTGTATTATAGCCGATGTGTTTTTATTTGTGAACGTACAAATATTATGACATTGCATTGTCGCGTGCAAACGTCCGTAGAAATTTACCGCAGAGCGATTATCGAAGCCGGATTAAGGGTCCGGCGACACACCTCCCGCATTTCACACCACCGCCCTACGACTTTCCGAAACGATTCTTTTTTTTTTCCCGCGGTTTTTAATTTTTGTTCACTCCCGAAAAAGCGTGACGGACGCGTGTTTTTTTTTTTTTTAATGTACGCGCAGTAAAAAATGCACAAACAACACGGTCCTCATCCGTCTCCGGGCCCCGGGAGGCCCGCGCTCGTTCTCGATAATCCGGGCCCGGCGATTTCGACGATTTCACGGTTTTTTACCGAATTGAGTATTTTTATTTTTTTTTTTTTTGTTTTCGTTTCTTCTTTTTACGAATGTTCGATAAAAAGTTTATTGTCATGTTAGTATAATTATATTGTAACATATATATATATATATATTATTTTAATTTTTTTTTTTTTTTGTATTTTTAACGCG